TGGGCAGCTGATGATGATGCTGATGATGATGCTGATGATGATGATGTTGATGATGCTGCTGCTGCTGATGATGCTGCTGATGATGATGCCGATAATGCTGCTGCTGATGATGCTGCTGATGATGCTGCTGATGATGATGCTGATGCTGCTGCTGCTGATGATGATGCTGATGCTGCTGCTGATGATGATGCTGATGCTGCTGCTGATGATGCTAATGCTGCTGATGATGCTGCTGATGCTGATGATGCCGATGATGCTGCTGCTGATGATACTGATGATGATGCTGCTGCTGATGATGCTGATGATGATGCTGCTGATGATGATGCTGATGCTGCTGCTTCTGCTGATGATGATGCTGCTGCTGCTGATGATGATGATGATGCTGCTGCTCATTGAGGGCGAAAGGAGATGGAGGGGGTGGACACGCTTGCTGTTTGTTCGCTGGTCGCAGGAAGGAGATTACGAGCAGGTGGTTCTTGGTCTGGTTGTGTTGCCAGTGTGACCAGGAGTAATGCGATAGGCATCTTAGACGAGTTCAATCTCTTCCTTGCATTGTGTGGGGACGGCGAGGGCGGAATGCAACTCAACTACAAAGGGCCCTGGGGTGCCATTGCCAACTCAGGGCACCCGGACTCTGCCCTGAGTTGGTGTGAGACTGTGGGAGTGTGTGATTGAGAGTGTGAGAGTGTGTGAGAGTGTGAGACTGAGAGTGTGATTGAGACTGTGAGAGTGTGTGAGAGTGTGAGAGAGTGTGTGAGAGTGTGAGAGTGTGAGAGTCTGAGAGTGTGACTGTGAGACTGTGATTGAGAGTGTGACAGTGTGTGAGTGTGATTGAGAGTGTGTGAGTGTGTGGTTGAGAGTGTGATTGAGAGTGTGAGAGTGTGTGATTGAGAGTGTGATTGAGAGTGTGACAGTGTGAGTGTGATTGAGAGTGTGAGTGTGTGGTTGAGAGTGTGATTGAGAGTGTGAGAGTGTGTGATTGAGAGTGTGAGAGTGTGAGAGTGTGTGATTGAGACTGTGAGAGTGTGTGATTGAGAGTGTGAGAGTGTGAGAGTGTGTGATTGAGAGTGTGAGAGTGTGAGAGTGTGAGAGTGTGAGAGTGAGTGAGTGTGTGAGTGTGAGAGTGAGTGAGTGTGAGAGTGTGAGAGTGTGAGACTGAGAGTGTGTGAGTGTGTGGTTGAGAGTGTGATTGAGAGTGTGAGAGTGTGTGATTGAGAGTGTGATTGAGAGTGTGACAGTGTGTGAGTGTGATTGAGAGTGTGTGATTGAGAGTGTGATTGAGAGTGTGAGTGTGTGATTGAGAGTGTGAGAGTGAGTGTGATTGAGTGTGTGAGACTGTGAGTGTGATTGAGTGTGTGAGAGTGTGTGAGAGTGAGTGTGATTGAGTGTGTGAGACTGAGAGAGTGTGTTTTATTGTTCCCAGGTGAGGCCTCACTGAGCTGTGAAGCTCGCATTTCAGAAGCGGCCTGGCCATCACAAATGATAGCTCAGCCAAGTGGCTGACATCATCATCATCACGCGTAAATGTATATCAGCAGCTAAATAATCTCGACACATGGAGGGCAAAAGCAGATGACCCCGAGGCAACTCCACGCGACCACGGGGAGAGAGAGACACGCAAACTCCTGTAGACCAGGCGAGGTAGTCAACATCTCCTAGCCACCGTGATGATGATGAGAGAGAGACACGCGAACTCCTGTAGACCAGGCGAGGTAGTCAATATCTCCTAGCCACCGTGATGATGATGAGAGAGAGACACGCGAACTCCTGTAGACCAGGCGAGGTAGTTAACATCTCTTAGCCACCGTGATGATGATGAAAGAGAGACACAGACCTTCTGTATACCAGGCGAGGTAGTAAACATCTCATAGCCACCGTGATGATGATGAGAGAGAGACATGCAAACTCCTGTATACCAGGCGAGGTAGTCAACATCTCCTAGCCACCGTGATGATGATGAGAGAGAGACACGCGACCTCCTGTATACCAGGCGAGGTAGTCAACATCTCATAGCCACCGTGATGATGATGAGAGAGAGACACGCGAACTCCACATATACAGCAGCAGCAGGCGTCAGGGTCGGGATCGAACCCACGACCTCCTGTAGACCAGGCGAGGTAGTCAACATCTCATAGCCACCTTGGCGACCCAATCATTTACATCTCTTAAATGAATTCACTGTCAGGTGAGGTACCCTTATTGTGCTGACGCTGTCCATATTTAGCCCAACGTAGAGCCACAGGGAACACACAAGACACAGGGAGTGTGCAATCATTCTATATTTGACCACGGGTAAAACCCACGTAAAAAATGCTTATACAATTACATTTCGGTGAATCCGCGCCAATGTGAGTTATTTCTTCTCTGGGCGTGATCATTTATTGCGTTTTAAAAATAGAAATGTTACTTATGTCAGAAGTGTTGGCTTCATGCCACCATTACGATCATTGCGATCCACACCGAGCCTACGGGCAGCCGTTGTGGTTGGTGGTGGTTGGTGGTGGTGGTGGTTGGTGGTGGTGGTGGTTGGTGGTGGTGGTTTGTAGTGGTTGGTGGTGGTAGTTGTTGTGGTGGTTGTTGTGGTAGTGGTTGGTGATGGTGTTAGTTGGTGGTGGTGGTTGGTGGTAGTGGTTTGTAGTGGTAGTGGTTGTTGATGGTGTTAGTTGGTGGTGGTGGTTGGTGTTAGTTGGTGGTGGTGGTTGGTGGTGGTGGTGGTTGGTGGTGGTGGTTGGTGGTGGTTATTGTGGTGGCTACGCTGCTGCAGGTGGCTGGCTCCACCAGGAGAGAACGACGACGACATGGTATTGCGACGTCCTTCATCTCACTTCTTGATTGCTTGTGGCTCTGCTCCTACGGCTTTAATCTTTATCCCTCTGTCTGATCATTCGATTGCTTCTTGTGTCCGACGTTTTGACCTTCTCTCGGGCTTTAGCCTTGTGGTGTCGCTCAGCTCTTACACTCACAGCGGTCGCCGTGCCTTGCCAGGGTTCATCTGGGCGTCGCTCCATCGGCCTCAACGCAGGCAATCCGTCGCCCGTGTCAATCGTAATACTGCCGAGGGATCTCGGACATCTCAAACCCTGTAGGGAATTCAGTTTTCTTTTTTTTTGTCGGTCTCTTCAGCTTCATTTGCTTCTTAGAAACAAGACGTTCGTGATCTGAACCACAATCTTGCTCCGGGAGCAGTGACTGCTGACGTTGTTGCACTCCGCCATCGCTTCTCGATCATGATGTGGTCAGTCGGGTGTCTTCCACCACTGGCCACGTGTGCAGTGTTCTTTGTGCTTGCTTATCGAGAGCATTTGTAATGCCCAGGTCATTGGCAGCACAGCAATTGATCAAATGATCCCCAGCATCATTGCAAGGCCGTACTGTCCAGTTATCCCCGCATGTCACCGACTCCTGCATTGCAATCTCCCATGGCAGGGGTAGTGACAGGGGTCGTGATAGGGGTAGTGATAGTGGTCGTGATAGGGGTAGTGGTAGGGGTAGTGGTAGGGGTAGTGATAGGGGTAGTGATAGGGGTAGTGATAAGGGTAGTGGTAGGGGTAGTGATAGGGGTAGTGATAGTGGTAGTGATAGGGGTAGTGATAGGGGTAGTGGTAGGGGTAGTGATAGGGGTAGTGATAGGGGTAGTGATAGTGATAGGGGATAGTGGTAGTGACAGGGGTAGTGGTAGGGGTAGTGATAGTGATAGGGGTAGTGATAGGGGTAGTGACATGGGTAGTGATAGGGGTAGTGATAGGGGTAGTGAAAGGGGTAGTGACAGTGATATGGGTAGTGATAGGGGTAGTGATAGGGGTATTGATAGGGGTATTGATAGGGGTAGTGATAGGGGTAGTGATAGGGGTAGTAATAGGGGTAGTGATAGGGGTAGTGATAGTAATAGGGGTAGTGATAGGGGTAGTGATAGAAGTCGCTAATGACCATCACGTGGATCGCAGCAGCCAAAAACTCTAAACGCGTTGGTGCTGTTACACACTTTCTATTAACTCGCTCTGTCTGTTGTTGTATCCTCAAATCTTGTAACTCAATTTTAACCCCACTTCCCAATGTGGTATGGACTGCAAACGTGGTATACTTATGTCACACTGATGAGAATACCATATTCTATCATTAAACATCTAGATTTTTAAACATTATTTTGCATACGCTATGTTTCGGCTTGGCTCTAATTGTCCACGCTCAACTCACGTTGGCTGTAATTGTCCACGTGTCCCTTACGTCGCGGCGAGCTTCGAGGCCACTTCGTGGAGTTGTGGAGTTGCGCCGTTACTAGCATGGCACATTTGATGAAAGCGTGTTTTTAAAATAGTTTTTTTTTGTTAAAAAAATATTACTTCTTTTTTTAATTGTGGAGAAAATAAACGAAGGGACCCGGAAAGAATATCCACGCAGCCACCACGGGTAGAGAGAGAGAGACGCAAACTCAGGCGTCAGGGTCCGGGATCGAACCCACACTCTCTCCTGTACACCAGGCGAGGTTGTGAACATCTCACAGCCACCGCAGCTGCATCGCCCGGCCAGTGATTTGAGTGAATGGTTGAAGTCTATCACAGCCGCGAGTAGCGTTGCGTGAGAAGACCGGTGGTGATGGCACGTGGCACGACATTGAGATGTGAAGTCCCTCGCCCGGCATGCAGGAGGTTTCATCTCGACCCTGACCATGCCTGTTGTGTATTTGGAGTTTAACACGATTAGTTGTATATGTGTATGTTTGTATATGTGTATATTTGTCATTGTGTATATTTGTATGTGTATATTTGTCATTGTGTATATTTGTATATGTATATTTGTATATGTGTATATTTATCATTGTGTATATTTGTATGTTTGTATATTTGTATGTGTATATATTTGTATATGTATATACTTGTATGTTTGTATATGTGTATACTTGTATATTTGTATATGTGTATATGTGTATGTTTGTATATGTGTATATTTGTATATGTGTATGTTTGTATATGTGTATATTTGTATATGTATATACTTGTATATTTGTATATGTATATATTTGCATGTCTGTATATGTGTATATTTGTATATTATGTGTATATTTGTATATTTGGATTCCGCGTCTCTCTCTGCAGGGATTTTTATCCGGGCACTCCGGTTCCACCCGCCCGCACCACTCCACATTTAGAATGAACACCGCGCATTTAGAGTTCTTTGGCTGCCGCTGTTTAAAACAAAACAAAAAAATATTCCCCGCTCGCGATTTCATGCAAATCGCGAGCGGCAGCGTCACTGAGTTCGCGTGCAGGACGGTGGTGTCGCTGTGTGCACCTTGGCGAGTCAACGATCTACCCTCGCCTCGTGCCCTGGCTAAGGGGGGCGTCTACATCCCTCCTCTGCCTGGGTGTGGTGTCGTGGCGTTGGGCGTCACTGCCGTGGGCTCTCCGTGGCCTCCCGTGACAGGAGGAGGCCATCGGGAGAGGCTGGAGGCTCCAACTGATGGAACTTTCTCCCCCTGCTGCTCCTGCTCCTGCTCCTCCTCCTCCTGCTCATCAGGAGGTAAGTGACACCGACCACGATCACCATCAGCGCCACCCCCGCCACGATGGTGCTGGGGCCCGGCATCAACATCGTCACTGAGGAGGGACGACGGGGGGGGGGGGAGAGCGGGGGGGGGGAGAGGAGTGGGTGAGCGGGGGGGTGAGTGGGGTGAGCGGAGTGAGTGGGTGAGTGGGGTGAGTGGGTGAGTGGAGTGAGTGGGTGAGTGGGGTGAGTGGGGTGAGTGGGTGAGTGGGTGAGTGGCGTGAGTGAGTGAGCTGGGTGAGTGGAGTGAGTGGGTGAGCGGGGTGAGTGGGGTGAGTGGGGTGAGTGGGTGAGTGGGTGAGTGGCGTGAGTGAGTGAGCTGGGTGAGTGGAGTGAGTGGGTGAGCGGGGTGAGTGGAGTGAGTGGGGTGAGTGGGTGAGTAGGTGAGTGGCGTGAGTGGGTGAGCGGGGTGAGTGGGGGTGTGAGCGGGGTGACGGGGGGGGGGGTGAGCGGGGTGAGTGGGGGGGTGAGCGGGGTGAGTGGGGGGGTGAGCGGGGTGGGTGGGGGGGTGAGCGGGGTGACGGGGTGAGCGGAGTGAGTGGGGTGAGTGGGGTGAGTGGGGTGAACGGGGTGAGTGGGGTGAGTGGGTGAGTGGGGTGAGTGGGGTGAGGAGCCATAGAAACCCACACAGAGACCCATAATGGAGACAGACACACGGGAAGAGAGAGAGATGCAAACTCGAAATATACAGCAGTAGGTAGGGTCCCGGATCGAACCCACGACCTCCTGCACACCAGCCAATGGAGATAACATCTCGCACCTGCAGCGCCACAGACACACCCAGACACACACACAGAGACACACACAGAGACACACAGACACACACACAGACACACACACAGAGACACACACACAGAGACACACACAGACACACAGAGACACACACACAGAGACACACACAGACACACACAGACACACACAGACACACGCAGAGACACACACACGCAGAGACACACACACACAGAGACACACACAGACACACAGAGACACACACACACACAGAGACAGACACACACACAGAGACACACACACACAGACACACAGAGAGACACACACAGACACAGAGACACACACAGAGACACACACACACAGAGACACACACAGAGACACACACAGAGACACACACAGACACACAGAGACACACACACAGAGACACACACAAGGACACAGACACACACACAGAGACACACACAAGGACACAGATACACGCAAAGAGAGAGAGAGAGAGGTCGCAGTCACCTTTGGAGGTGACCGACAGCGTGATGGTCTTCGTCTGAACGTTGGAGAAGAACGTCCCACAGGAATACTGGCCGGCGTCCACGTGCCTCACGGGCGACACGAGAACCGAGGCGTCACCCCTGCTCAGATCTCCCACCCACGCCACGTTGCCGATGTACGGAGTCGCCTTCTCGTCGAACACAAGGATCTGGCATGGGGACGGGGAGGGGGGTGCGATGGACGACGTTAAGATGCACTGGACGTCTGTGACGAACACAGCTTGGGTGGGTGGGTGGGCGAGTGGGTGGGTGGGTGGATGGGCGAGTGGGTGGGTGGATGGGCGAGTGGGTGGGTGGATGGGCGAGTAGGTGGGTGGATGGGCGAGTGAGTGGGTGGGAGGATGAGTGAGTGGGTGGGCGGGTGGGTGGGCGAGTGGGTGGGCGAGTGAGTGGGCGAGTGAGTGGGTGGGCGGGCGAGTGGGTGAGTGCTTGAGTGGTTGTATTAGTGTGTGAATGGGCGAGTGGGAGAGTGGGTGGCTGAGTGATTGAGTGGAGGAGTGGTTAAGTGAGTTGGCGAGTGAGTGTCTGGGTGGGCGAGTGCTTCAATGTGTGAGTGGGCCAGTGAGTGTGAGTGTGTAGGCAAGTGGGAGAGTGGGTGGCTGAGTGGTTGAGTGGATGGATTAGTGAATGAGTGGGCGAGTGAGTGTGTAAGCGAGTGCCTGAGTGTTTGAGTGGGCCAGTGGGTGTGTAAGTGGTTGAGTGGTTGAGTAAGTGTGTAAGTGGTTGTCATTCACTCACACTCGCCACCTTTAAAAAAGAGTTTCTTAGCAATCAGAGCTTCACTCGATGGGAGACATTCCTGGGTGCCACGGTAGCTAGGAGATGTTAACTACCTCGCCTGATATGCAGGAGGTCGTGGGTTCGATCCGGACCCTGATGCCTGTATATCTGGAGTTTGCGCGTCTCTCTCTCTCCCCGTGGTCGTGTGAATTTTTCTCCAACGTCGTCCCATTCGAGTGTTTGGCTGCCGAACATTTCCCGGTGATAAGCAACTTCCGTTGAGCTCTGATTTGTGATGGTGAGGTCGCTTCTAAAAAAAAAAAAAAATAATAATATCTCTACGGCTCAGTGGGGGACTTACCTGAAAAACAAAACGAGATGGTTAAATAGTTAAAGGTGAACTTCGTTTGGACCATCGCACCTGTTCGGTCGATTCATTCGCCGATATCCTCTCCCAGGTGATCATTTCGCCCGCGGGGATGGGCTCCTCGAAGAGGCACGGCAGGAGAGCGGTCGAGTCCTCTTCCGCCGTGATGTGGCTCTGAGCCAGGACGGAGCCTGCCAGGCCCAGAGCGATGAACGTCCCTGGAGTGAGCACACGAGGAGCGAGAGGTCGTCACGCGGCAGCCTGACACGGAGGATTCGCGGCGCGTTTGGGTGGAATGCGAGAAGTGGTAATGGTCCCTGTGGCTTACAGCGAGGAGAGGGAGGCCTGGGTTCGAATCCTGACTCGGGTGGAGTTTGTGTGATCTCTCCCTTGGTTCTACAGAGTGAGTGAGTGGAGTTTGTGTGATCTCCCCCTGTACTACAGAGTGAGTGGAGTTTGTATGATCTCCCCCTGTTCTACAGAGTGAGTGCGTGGAGTTTGTGTGATCTCTCCCTGTACTACAGAGTGAGTGGAGTTTGTGTGATCTCCCTTTGTTCTACAGAGTGAGTGGAGTTTGTGTGATCTCCCCCTGTTCTACTGAGTGAGTGAGTGGAGTTTGTATGATCTCCTCCTGTTCTACAGAGTGAGTGGAGTTTGTATGATCTCCCCCTGTTCTATAGAGTGAGTGGAGTTTGTATGATCTCCCCCTGTTCTATAGAGTGAGTGGAGTTTGTATGATCTCCCACTGTTCTACAGAGTGAGTGGAGTTTGTGTGATCTCCCTTTGTTCTAAAGAGTGAGTCGGGTTTGTATGATCTCCCCCTGTTCTACAGAGTGAGTGGAGTTTGTGTGATCTCCCTTTGTTCTACAGAGTGAGTGGAGTTTGTATGATCTCCCGTGTTCTAAAGAGTGAGTGGTGTTTGTGTGATCTCCCCCTGTACTACAGAGTGAGTGAGTGGAGTTTGTGTGATCTCCCCCTGTTCTACAGAGTGAGTGCGTGGAGTTTGTGTGATCTCTCTCTGTTCTATAGAGTGAGTGGGTGGAGTTTGTGTGATCTCTCCCTGTACTACAGAGTGAGTGAGTGGAGTTTGTGTGATCTCCCTTTGTTCTACAGAGTGAGTGGAGTTTGTGTGATCTCCCCCTGTTCTACAGAGTGAGTGAGTGGAGTTTGTGTGATCTCTCCCGGTACTACAGAGTGAGTGAGTGGAGTTTGTGTGATCTCCCTTTGTTCTACAGAGTGAGTGGAGTTTGTATGATCTCCCCCTGTTCTACAGAGTGGAGTTTGTATGATCTCCCCCTGTTCTACAGAGTGAGTGGAGTTTGTATGATCTCGCCCTGTACTACAGAGTGAGTGAGTGGAGTTTGTATGATCTCCCCCTGTTCTACAGAGTGAGTCGGGTTTGTATGATCTCCCCCTGTTCTACAGAGTGAGTGGAGTTTGTGTGATCTCCCTTTGTTCTACAGAGTGAGTGGAGTTTGTATGATCTCCCCTGTTCTACAGAGTGAGTGGAGTTTGTGTGATCTCCCCCTGTACTACAGAGTGAGTGGAGTTTGTATAATCTCCCCTGTTCTAAAGAGTGAGTGGAGTTTGTGTGATCTCCCCCTGTTCTACAGAGTGAGTGGCGTTTGTATGATCTCCCCTGTTCTAAAGAGTGAGTTGTGTTTGTGTGATCTCCCCCTGTACTACAGAGTAAGTGAGTGGAGTTTGTGTGATCTCCCCCTGTTCTACAGAGTGAGAGGAGTTTGTATGATCTCCCCCTGTTCTACAGAGTGAGTCGGGTTTGTATGATCTCCCCCTGTTCTACAGAGTGAGTGGAGTTTGTGTGATCTCCCTTTGTTCTACAGAGTGAGTGGAGTTTGTATGATCTCCCCTGTTCTAAAGAGCGAGTGGTGTTTGTGTGAACCTCCCCCTGTACTACAGAGCGAGTGAGTGGAGTTTGTGTGATCTCCCCCTGTTCTACTGAGTGTGAGTGAGTGGAGTTTGTGTGATCTCCCCTGTTCTAAAGAGTGAGTTGTGTTTGTGTGATCTCCCCCTGTACTACAGAGTGAGTGAGTGGAGTTTGTGTGATCTCCCCCTGTTCTACTGAGTGTGAGTGAGTGGAGTTTGTGTGATCTCCCCCTGATCTACAGAGTGAGTGGAGTTTGTATGATCTCCCCTGTTCTACAGAGTGAGTGAGTGGAGTTTGTATGATCTCCCCCTGTTCTACAGAGTGAGTGGAGTTTGTATGATTTCCCCTGTTCTACAGAGTGAGTCGGGTTTGTATGATCTCCCCCTGTTCTACAGAGTGAGTGGAGTTTGTGTGATCTCCCTTTGTTCTACAGAGTGAGTGGAGTTTGTATGATCTCCCCTGTTCTAAAGAGCGAGTGGTGTTTGTGTGATCTCCCCCTGTTCTACAGAGTGAGTGAGTGGAGTTTGTGTGATCTCCCCCTGTTCTACTGAGTGTGAGTGAGTGGAGTTTGTTGTGATCTCCCCCTGTTCTACAGAGTGTGTGAGCGTTTCGCGTCATATTCAAAGGTTTCCGAATAACAGATGTATTCGTGATAATTGTTACTACGAACTGTATATATATTTTTACCAGGTAAGGCCCAATGAGCTGTGTAGCTCTATTTCAGGGGCGACCTGGCCACAAGTGATAGCCCCAGGAAGTGGCTTATCAACATCACGTGGACATTTATAGCAACGGCAGCAGCCACTTACTCTGCACGAGAGAGAAACAGGAGGACCCTCAGAGCAATCCACGTGGCCACGGGGTGAGAGAGAGACACGCAAACTCCAAATATACAGCAGCAGCAGGCATCGTCAGGGTCGGGACTGAACCCACGACCTCCTGCACACCAGGCGAGGTAGTCAACATCTCCTAGCCACCGTGATGATGATGATGAGAGAGAGAGACACGCAAACTCCAAATATACAGCAGCAGCAGGCATCGTCAGGGTCGGGACTGAACCCACGACCTCCTGCACACCAGGCGAGGTAGTCAACATCTCCTAGCCACCGTGATGATGATGATGAGAGAGAGACACGCAAACTCCAAATATACAGCAGCAGCAGCAGGCATCGTCAGGGTCGGGATTGAACCCACGACCTCCTGCACACCAGGCCAGGTAGTCAACATCTCCTAGCCACCGTGATGATGATGATGAGAGAGAGACACGCAAACTCCAAATATACAGCAGCAGCAGGCATCGTCAGGGTCGGGATTGAACCCACGACATCCTGCACACCAGGCGAGGTAGTCAACATCTCCTAGCCACCGTGATGATGATGATGAGAGAGAGACACGCAAACTCCAAATATGCAGCAGCAGCAGCAGGCATCGTCAGGGTCGGGATTGAACCCACGACCTCCTGCACACCAGGCGAGGTAGTCAACATCTCCTAGCCACCGTGATGATGACGATGATGAGAGAGAGACACGCAAACTCCAAATATACAGCAGCAGGCATCGTCAGGGTCGGGACTGAACCCACGACCTCCTGCACACCAGGCGAGGTAGTCAACATCTCCTAGCCACCGTGATGATGATGATGAGAGAGAGAGAGACACACAAACTCCAAATTTACAGCAGCAGGCATCGTCAGGGTCGGGACTGAACCCACGACCTCCTGTACACCAGGCGAGGTAGTCAACATCTCATAGCCACCGTGATGATGATGATGATGAGAGAGAGAGACACGCAAACTCCAAATATACAGCAGCAGGCATCGTCAGGGTCGGGAGTGAACCCTGTACACCAGGCGAGGTAGTCAACATCTCCTAGCCACCGTGATGATGATGAGAGAGAGAGACACGCAAACTCCAAATATACAGCGGCAGGTATCATCAGGGTCGGGATTGAACCCACGACCTCCCGCACACCAGGCGAGGTAGTCAACATCTCCTAGCCACCGTGATGATGATGATGAGAGAGAGAGAGACACGCAAATTCCAAATATACAGCAGCAGCAGGCATCGTCAGGGTCGGGATTGAACCCACGACCTCCTGCATACCAGGCGAGGTAGTCAACATCTCCTAGCCACCGTGATGATGATGATGATGAGAGAGAGACACGCAAACTCCAAACATACAGCAGCAGGCATCGTCAGGGTCGGGACTGAACCCACGACCTCCTGCACACCAGGCGAGGTAGTTAACATCTCATAGCCACCGTGATGATGATGATGAGAGAGAGAGACACGCAAACCCCAAATATACAGCAGCAGGCATCGTCAGGGTCGGGACTGAACCCACGACCTCCCGCACACCAGGCGAGGTAGTCAACATCTCATAGCCACCGCGGGCTCTCCAAATCGAATGAAATCTCTCCGCGGGCCACCAAATCGTCGCCTCCACGCTGCTGAATCGGAGAGGCGCCGAGCGGCAGCCGCCGCCCGGAGTGAACTCGTTCTGAAGAACTCGTTCTTGAATTTGTCTTTGCAAAGGAAATAAAAGAACCCGTTTCCCCGGTCTTTGGCAGAGACATTTTGGCCGCCGTTGTTGTTGTACTGTACTGAGCGGTGACCAGGCCACGGGTCCGAGATAGCGCGTGCTGCGGTTGGCGCGGGGGTTGAGGTGCGAATCTGGCAGACCACCCTCGCTAATACTGCGGTGGGTACGAGTCACGGGCGACATTTAGTCTATGGGCAGTGCTGATGTATGTGTGTTGAACTTATTTCGCACAGAGTCTGTTTACGCCATACGCAACGTAACATTCGTCACAGCCTAGAGCCGAAGGCATCTTTGGCTGTGGCCAGGTGGCTGTTGGGGAGCTGATCTCTGGGTGTCTCTGTGCTCTGGAGGTGGGGAGCGGTGGCGCAGCGGTTAGCGCTGTGCTGCTAACCTGCCAGAGACCCGGGTTCGATTCCCGCTCACGGGCACCACCACCACCACCAACAACAACACCACCAACAATACCACCACCACCAACAACACCACCACCAACAACACCAACAACAACACCACCAACAACAACACCACCACCACCATCACCACCACCAACAATACCACCACCACCAACAACACCACCAACACCACCAACACCACCACCAACAACACCAACACCACCACCACCAACAACACCACCACCAACAATACCACCACCACCAACAACAACACCACCAACAACAACAACAACAATACCACCACCACCAACACCACCACCACCAACAACACCACCACCACCAACAACACCACCAACACCACCAACACCACCACCAACACCACCACCAACACCACCACCACCAACAACACCAACACCACCACCACCAACAACACCACCAACAATACCACCACCACCAACAACAACACCACCAACAACACCACCACCAACAACACCACCACCACTACCACCAACAACAACACCAACAACAACCAGTGACGATTATTTAAACCGGATCCTGGGCCTCACCTAGGTCGACGCAGCCTGAAATGAGTCTACTTGGTGCGGTGTGTAGTAAACATGGCCACGAGGGAGACAAAGGCAGCCGGGCGTGGTGTTGGCCAACCGACCCCTCGTGTGTCGTGGTGGTGGTGGTGTTGATGGTGATGATGGTAATCGTGGTGGTGGTGTTGATGGTGCTACACGCAAACAGCACTTGTCCAATCAGTCTGTTAAGGCTATTCGGGGGATCTTTGTCTTTGATGGTGGTGATGAGGATCGTGGTGATGATGGGAATGCGGATGGTGGTGGAAATGGTGATGATGGCGATTATGGTAATCGTGGTGATGATGGTAATCGTGGTGGTGATGATGGTGATGATGGTAATCGTGGTGGTGTTGATGGTGATAATGGTAATCGTGGTGGTGTTGATGGTGATGATGGTGATGGTGATGATGGTAATCGTGGTGGTGTTGATGGTGATGATGGTAATCGTGATGGTGGTGGTGTTGATGGTGATGATGGTGATCGAAGTCGTGGTGTTGAGGGTGATGATGGTGATCGTGGTGGTGGTGGTGGTGGTATTGATGGTGATGATGTTAACCGTGCTGGTGGTGGTGGTGTTGATTGTGCTACTCGCCATAACAGCACTTGCCCCAGGCAGGCGATCAGCCGCCAAGGCCGTTGAGGGCTATGCGGGGGATCTTTGTCTTTGCTTGGCACGAGGGGAATTTAGGGGATTCCCCGACCCAGGGCGGTCCACGTGGGGGGTGGGGGGTGGTGGGGGGTGGTGGTGGGGGGGTGGGGGGTGGTGGTGGGGGGGTGGGGGGTGGTGGTGGGGGGGGTGTTGAGGACGAACGCGGCCCCTCTCGTCACGTCACCGCGGTGTTTTTATTTTATTTTAAAAAAAACAAATTACTGATTGAAGCCGCGCCGAAATCCGCGTAAGGGAAAATGTTATCGGAGTCCTCCCTCTGGCGGAGATTCCCGAGAGAGGAGGAGAGAGGGGAGAGAGGAGAGAGAAGATCACTTGTCCAGACAAGGTTCTGTACCCTGCCTTGGAGTTTGTGTCGTGATGAAAACCCAATGGGTTATATTTGTCCTCTGGTAATTGTAGATGCGCTGTTGATTTGTTTACATTAAAAAAAAATGCAAACTCCACTGACTCATTCTCACTCTGTAGTACAGGGGGAGATCATACAAACTCCACTCACTCTACAGAACAGGTGGAAATCAATCAAACTCCACTCACTCTGTAGAACAGGGGGAGATCATACAAACTCCACTCACTCTGTAGAACAGGGGGAGATCATACAAACTCCACTCACTCTGTAGAACAGGGGGAGATCACACTAACTCCACTCACTCTGTAGAACAGGGAGAGATCATACAAACTCCACTCACTCTGTAGAACAGGGGGAGATCACACAAATTCCACTCACTCACTCTGTAGAACAGGGTGAGATCAATCAAACTCCACTCACTCTGTAGAACAGGGAGACATCATACAAACTCCACTCACTCTGTAGAACAGGGTGAGATCATACAAACTCCACTCACTCTGTAGAACAGGGGGAGATCATACAAACTCCACTCACTCTGTAGAACAGGGGGAGATCATACAAACTCCACTCACTCTGTAGAACAGGGGGAGATCATACAAACTCCACTCACTCTGTAGAACAGGGAGAGATCATACAAACTCCACTCACTCACTCTGTAGAACAGGGGGAGATCACACAAACTCCACTCACTCACTCTGTAGAACAGGGGGAGATCACAAAAACTCCACTCACTCACTCTGTAGAACAGGGGGAGATCATACAATCTCCACTCACTCTGTAGAACAGGGGGAGATCACACAAACTCCACTCACTCACTCTGTAGAACAGGGGGAGATCATACAAACTCCACTCACTCTGTAGAACAGGGAGAGATCACACAAACTCCACATGCACACTCACCCAACAAGAATCGCCTATTACCACAACGAGGTGATATTACTGCAGGGCCTGTGCCAGGCTAGGTGCACCTTGAGGCCACGTGAAGTGTCAAGGGCCCGCTGGCAGGAGGTCACGGGACAGACCCACATGGCATGGGTTGATTGCCTGAGATGACTGAGATGACTGGCTGATGCACCATCTGTACCACTTTACACGCCCACTGACTGCGTTTTACTCGCCCGGCGCTCCGCTCGTTGCTGTGAGCGTCGCTCCTCCGCCCTCTGCCTCCAGTTGGAGGCAGTCTATGTGCACCTAGCTTGGCACTGCCCAGGAGCGTTCTATACGAGCCTCCTCCTCCTCCACAGAGGCTGATCCTGACACCGCTGGTACCAGTCTTCGGCAAGTCCACTCAGCTGCACGTCCTCCTGGACCGCATCAGCTCCCACTCTTCTCTAGCCCGTGTCGTGCCCGCTTAGCCCCCTCTATCCGGCCAAACAGAAGTTGCCTCGACATGCGGTGGCTGGGCACGCGGGCTACATGACCCAGCCAATGCAGCAGCCTTGCCTGCCGGAGGAGCTCTCTGATGGGACTGTGTTCAGATCTTTCAAGGATTTGTGAGCTCCTCACACAATCCAGCCTGCTGGTGAAACCCAGCATGGATCGTAGGCAGGCCAGCCTGAATGTTTCTAACCTCCGCAGAAGTTCCATTCGAGGGGTCCACGTTTGGAAAGCGTAGGGCAGGAAGGGCGTGACTGGGGCCGAGAAAACCCGAAGCTTCGTGTGGAGCGACAGACCAGGTAGCTTCTACACAGCAGCGTTACGCAGTTGATGTAATTATGATGCCGCCCGACTGATTCGGAGCGAGACCAATGCTGTCACAACCATCTCCACCACCACCTCCACCACCACCATCACCACCACCTCCACTACCACCACGTCCACCACCACGTCCACCACCACCACCACGTCCACCACCACCACGTCCACCACCACCACGTCCACCACCACCACGTCCACCACCACCACGTCGACCACCTGCACCACCGCTTCCACGACGTCCACCACGTCCACTACCACCACCACCACCTCCGCCACCACCACCTCCACCACCACGTCCACCACGTCCACCACCACCGCCACCACCACCACCTCCACCACCACGTCCACCACCGCCACCTCCGCCGCCACCACCACCACAACCACCACGTCCACCACCACCTCCACCACCACCACCACGTCCAACACCTCCACCACCACCACCATCACCACCATCTCCGCCACCACCACCACGTCCACCACCACCGCCACCACCACCTCCACCATCTCCGCCACCACCACCTCTGCCACCACCACCACCGCCACCACCACCTTCGCCACCGCCACCACCACCTCCACCACCACCACCACCAGCACCACCACCACCACCTCTACCACCACCACCACCACCACCAGCACCACCAGCACCAGCACCACCTCCACCGCCACCACCGCCGCCACCACCACCACCGCCACCACCTCCGCCACCACCACCGCCACCACCACCGCCACCACCACCAGCACCACCACCACCGCAACCACCACCAGCATCACCACCAGCACCACCAGCAGGCATCACCACCACCACCAGCGCCACCACCACCACCAGCACCACTACCACCACCACCAGCACCACTACGGACACCACCAGCAGGCATGACAGTCGACTCACCCAGGAGGATCGCCGCGCCGTGCTGGGTGGGGATTCCCATCGTGAGAGTCGCTCCCTGCCAGCGACTCGCGACTCTCTGCGAGTCGCGATCTGAGTCGCGCTGAGCCGAAGTCTCTCCCCCTGTAGGTGACGCACACACGGTGCACTGTTCACTCACCTGTGACTCATTTACTCACCCTTCACTCACCCATCACTCACTCACCCTTCTCACTCACCTCTCACTCACCCATCACTCACCCTTCACTCACCCATCACTCACCTCTCACTCACCCCTCACTCACCCTTCTCACTCACCTCTCACTCACCCATCACTCACCCATCACTCACCTCTCACTCACCCATCACTCACCCATGACACACCCTTCTCACTCACCTCTCACTCACCTCTCACTCACCCATCACTCACCCATCACTCACCTCTCACTCAGCTCTCACTCACCCATCACTCACCCATCACTCACCTCTCACTCACCTCTCTCACTCACCCATCACTCACCCATCACTCACCCTTCTCACTCACCTCTCACTCACCTCTCACTCACCCATCACTCACCCTTCACTCACCCATCACTCACCCATCACTCACCCTTCTCACTCACCTCACACTCACCCATCACTCACCTCTCACTCACCTCTCACTCACCCATCACTCACCCATCACTCACCTCTCACTCACCTCTCTCACTCACCCATCACTCACCCATCACTCACCCTTCTCACTCACCTCTCACTCACCTCTCACTCACCCATCACTCACCCTTCACTCACTCTTCTCACTCACCTCTCACTCACCCATCACTCACCCATCACTCACCTCTCACTCACCTCTCTCACTCACCCATCACTCACCCATCGCTCACCCTTCTCACTCACCTCTCACTCACCTCTCACTCACCCATCACTCACCCATCACTCACCCTTCTCACTCACCTCTCACTCACCCTTCACTCACCCATCACTCACCCATCACTCACTCTTCTCACTCACCTCTCACTCACCCATCACTCACCTCTCACTCACCTCTCACTCACCCATCACTCACTCACCCTTCTCACTCAACTATCACTCACCCATCACTCACCCTTCACTCACCCATCACTCACCCATCACTCACCCATCACTCACCTCTCACTCACCCATCACTCACTCACCCATCACTCACCCATCACTCACCCATCACTCACCTCTCACTCACCCATCACTCACTCACCCTTCTCACTCAACTCTCACTCACCCATCACTCACCCATCACTCACCCTTCACTCACCCATCACTCACCCTTCTCACTCACCTCTCTCACTCACCTCTCACTCACCTCTCACTCACCCATCACTCACCCATCACTTACCCTTCTCACTCACCTCTCACTCACCCATCACTCACCCTTCTCACCCAACCTCTCACTCACCCATCACTCACCCATCACTCACCTCTCACTCACCCATCACTCACCCTTCTCACTCACCTCTCTCACTCACCCATCACTCACCCATCACTCACTCACCCATCACTCACCCTTCTCACTCACTCACCCATCACTCACCCATCACTCACCCATCACTCACCCTTCTCATTCACCTCTCACTCACCCATCACTCACACATCACTCACCCCTCTCACTCACCCATCACTCACCCTTCTCACTCACCTCTCACTCACCTCTCACTCACCCATCACTCACCCCTCTCACTCACCTCTCACTCACCTCTCTCACTCACCCATCACTCACCCATCACTCACCCTTCACTCACCTCTCACTCACCCATCACTCACCCATCACTTACCCTTCTCACTCACCTCTCACTCACCCATCACTCACCCTTCTCACTCACCTCTCACTCACCCATCACTCACCCATCACTCACTCACCTCTCACTCACCCATCACTCACCCTTCTCACCTCTCTCACTCACCCATCACTCACCCATCACTCACTCACCCATCACTCACCCTTCTCACTCACCCCTCTCACTCACCCCTCACTCACCCTTCTCACTCACCTCTCACTCACCTCTCACTCACCCATCACTCACCCATCACTCACCTCTCACTCAACCATCACTCACCCTTCTCACTCACCTCTCACTCACCCATCACTCACCCTTCTCACTCACCTCTCACTCACCCATCACTCACCCATCACTCACTCACCCTTCTCACTCACCTCTCTCACTCACCCATCACTCACCCATCACTCACCCTTCTCACTCACCCATCACTCACCCATCACTCACCTCTCTCACTCACCCATCACTCACCCATCACTCACCCATCACTCACCCTTCTCACTCACCTCTCACTCACCTATTACTCATTTACTCACCTCTCACTCACCCATCACTCACTCACCCCTCTCACTCACCTCTCACTCACCCCTCACTCACCCTTCTCACTCACCTCTCACTCACCTCTCACTCACCCCTCACTCACCTCTCGCTCACCTCTCACTCACACATCACTTACCCATCACTTACCACTCTCACTCACTCACCCATCACTCACTCACCTCTCACTCACCCATCACTCACTCACCCTTCTCACTCACCCCTCTCACTCACCTCTCACTCACCCATCACTCACCCATCACTCACTCACCCTTCTCACTCACCCTTCTCACTCACCTCTCCCTCACCCATCACTCACCCATCACTCACCCATCACTCACTCACCTCTCACTCACCCATCACTCACCCCTCTCGCTCACCTCTCACTCACCCATCACTCACCCTTCTCACTCACCTCTCACTCACCCATCACTCACCCATCACTTACCACTCTCACTTACTCACCCATCACTCACTCACCCTTCTCACTCACCTCTCACTCACCCCTCACTCACCTATTACTCATTTACTCACCTCTCACTCACCCATCAATCACTCACCCTTCTCACTCACCCCTCTCACTCACCCATCACTCACCCATCACTCCCCATCACTTACCACTCTCACTCACTCACCCATCACTCGCTCACCTCTCACTCACCTATCACTCACTCACCCTTCTCACTCACCCCTCTCGCTCACCTGTCACTCACCCATCACTCACTCACCCTTCTCACTCACCCTTCTCACTCACCCATCACTCACCCATCACTTACCACTCTCACTTACTCACCCATCACTCACCCAAACTCTCACTCACCCATCACTCACCCATCACTTACCACTCTCACTTACTCACCCATCACTCACCCAACTCTCACTCACCCATCACTCACCCCTCTCACTCACCTGTCACTCACTGCTATCACTCACACAACCATCACTCACCGCTCTCACTCACCCATCACTCACCCCTATCACTCACCCATCAATTACCACTCTCACTCACTCTTCACTCACTCACTCACCCATCATTCACTAGCCCCTCTCACTCACCCATCACTCACCCCACTCACTCACCAATTACTCACCCCTATCACTCACCCATCACTTACCACTCTCACTCACATATTACTCACCCCTATCACTCACCCATCACTCACTTACCACTCTCACTCACCTATTACTTATTTACCTCTCACTCACCCATCACTCACCCCTCTCACTCACTCACCTCTCACTCACCCATCACTCACCACTCTCACTCACCTGTCACTCACCCCGATCACTCACACAACCATCACTCACCGCTCTCACTCACCCATCACTCACCCCTATCACTCACCCATCAATTACCACTCTCACTCACTCTTCACTCACCCATCATTCACTAGCCCCTCTCACTCACCCATCACTCACCGCTCTCACTCACCTATTACTCACCCCTATCACTCACCCATCAATTACCACTCTCACTCACTCTTCACTCACCCATCATTCACTAGCCCCTCTCACTCACCCATCACTCACCGCTCTCACTCACCTATTACTCACCCCTATCACTCACCCATCACTTACCACTCTCACTCACCCATCACTCACCCCTCTCACTCACTCACCTCTCACTCACTCACCTCTCACTCACCCATCACTCACCACTCTAACTCACCTGTCACTCACCCCGATCACTCACACAACCATCACTCACCGCTCTGGCTCACCTGTCACACACCTGTCACTCACCTGTCACTCACCCTTCTTACTCACCTCTCACTCACCACTCACCTCTCTCGCTCAACTCTCTCTGTGTGAGTCTCTCTGAGTCCCTGTGTGTGTGAGTCTCTCTGTGTGAGTCTCTCTCTCTGTGTGAGTCTCTCTGTGAGCCTCTCTCTCTCTGTGAGTCTCTCTGTGAGTCTCTCTGTGTGTGAGGCTCTCTGTGTGAGTCTCTCTGTGAGTCTCTCTCTCTGTGTGAGTCTCTCTGTGTGAGTCTCTCTGTGTGAGTCTCTCTGTATGAGTCTCTGTGTGTGAGTTTCTCTCTCTGTGTGAGTCTCTCTGTGTGTCTCTGTGTGTTAATCTCTCTGTGAGGCTCTCTCTCTGTGTGAGTCTCTCTGTGAGTTTCTCTCTCTGTGTGTCTCTCTGAGAGTCTCTGTGTGTGTGAGTCTCTCTGTGTGCGTCTGTCTGTGAGTCTCTCTGTGTGAGTCTCTCTGTGAGTCTCTGTGTGTGAGTCTCTCTGTGTGTGTCTCTCTGTGTGAGTCTCTATCTCTGTGTGAGTCTCTGTGTGAGTCTCTCTGTGAGTCTCTCTCTGTGTGAGTCTCTCTGTGAGTCTCTCTCTGCGAGTCTCTCTATGAGTCTCTCTGTCTGTGTGAGTCTCTCTGTGTGAGTCTCTCTGTGAGTCTCTCTCTGTGTTTGAATCTCTCTCTCTCTGTGAGTCTCTCTCTTCGTGTGAGTCTCTCTGTGGGAGACTCTCTGTGAGTCTCTCTCTCTGTGTGTCTCTCTGCGAGTCTCTCTGTGAGACTCTCCCTGTGTGAGTCTCTCTGTGTGTCTCTGTGTGAGTCTCTCTGTGTGAGTCTCTCTGTGAGTCTCTCTGTGAGTCTCTCTGTGTGAGTCTCTCTGTGAGTCTCTCTGTGTGAGTCTCTCTGTGTGAGTCTCTCTGTGAGTCTCACTCTGTGAGTCTCTCTCTCTGTGTGAGTCTCTCTCTCTGTGCGAGTCTCTCTGTATGAGTCTCTCTGTGAGTCTTTCTGTGAGTCTCTCTGTGAGTCTCTGTGTGAGTCTCTCTGTGTGAGTCTCTCTCTGTGAGTCTCTCTGTGTGAGTCTCTCTGTGAGTCTTTCTGTGTGAGTCTCTGTGTGAGTCTCTCTCTCTCTCTGTGTTAGTCTCTCTGTGAGTCTCTCTCTCTGTGTGTGAATCTCTCTGTGTGAGGCTCTCTGTGAGTCTCTCTGTGTGAGTCTCTCTGTGAGTCTCTCTGTGTGAGTCTCTCTGTGTGAGCCTCTCTCTCTGTGTGAATCTCTCTGAGTCTCTCTGTGTGAGTCTCTCTGTGAGTCTCTCTGTGTGAGTCTCTCTGTGAGTCTCTCTGTGTGAGTCTCTCTGTGTGAGTCTCTCTCTCTGTGTGAGTCTCTCTGTGTGAGTCTCTCTCTGTGAGTCTCTCTCTCTGTGAGTCTCTCTGTGTGAGTCTCTCTGTGAGTCTCTCTGTGTGAGTCTCTCTGTGTGAGTCTCTCTGTGAGTCTCTCTCTGTGAGTCTCTGTGTGAGTCTCTCTGTGTGAGTCTCTCTGTGTGAGTCTCTCTGTGTGAGTTTCTGTGTGAGTCTCTCTGTGAGTCTCTCTCTGTGAGTCCCTGTGTGAGTCTCTCTTTGAGTCTCTCTCTCTGTGAGTCTCTCTGTGTGAGTCTCTCTTTGTGAGTCTCTCTGTGTGAGTCTCTCTGTGTGAGTCTCTCTGTGAGTCTCTCTGTGTGAGTCTCTCTGTGAGTCTCTCTCTCTGTGTGAGTCTATCTCTGTGAGTCTCTGTGTCTCTCTCTGTGTCTCTCTGTGAGCCTCTCTGTGTGAGTCTCTCCGTGAGTCCCTCTCTCTCTGTGTGAGTCTCTCTCTGTGAGTCTCTCTCTGTGAGTCTCTCTGTGTGAGTCTCTCTCTGTGAGTCTCTCTCTGTGAGTCTCTTTGTGAGTCTCTCTCTGTGTGAGTGTCTCTCTGTGAGTCTCTCTTTGTGATTCCCTCTCTGTGAGTCGCTCTCTGTGAGTCTCTCTGTGTGAGTCTCTCTCTGTGAGTCTCTCTCTGTGAGTCTCTCTGTGTGAGTCTCTCTCTGTGAGTCTCTCTCTGTGAGTCTCTGTGTGAGTCTCTCTCTGTGTGAGTCTCTCTCTGTGAGACTCTCTGTGTGAGTCTCTCTCTGTGAGTCTCTCTCTGTCTGTGTGAGTCTCTCTGTGAGTCTCTCTCTCTGTGTGAGTCTCTCTGTGAGTCTCTCTGTCTGTGTGAGTCTCTCTGTGTGAGTCTCTGTGTGAGTCTCTCTCTGTGTGAGTCTCTGTGTGAGTATCTCTGTGTGAGTCTCTCTCTGTGTGAGTCTCTCTCTGTGTGAGTCTCTCTCTCTGAGTCTCTCTGTGAGTCTCTCTCTCTCTGTGAGTCTCTTTGTGAGTCTCTCTGTCTGTGTGAGTCTCTGTGTGAGTCTCTGTGTGAGTCTCTCTGTGAGATTCTCTGTGTGTCTCTCTGTGTGAGTCTCTCTGTGTGAGCCGCTCTGTGAGTCTCTCTGTGTGAGTCTCTCTCTGTGAGTCTCTCTGTGTGAGTCTCTCTGTGTGAGTGTCTCTCTGTGAGTCTCTCTGTGTGAGTCTCTCTCTGTGACTCTCTCTGTGTGAGTCTCTCTCTGTGAGTCTCTCTGTGTGAGTCTCTCTCTGTGAGTCTCTCTGTGTGAGTCTCTCTCTGTGAGCCTCTCTGTGAGTCTCTCTCTGTGTGAGTCTCTCTATGTGAGTCTCTCTGTGAGTTTCTCTGTGTGAGTCTCTCTCTGTGAGTCTCTCTGTGTGAGTCTCTCTCTGTGAGGCTCTCTGTGTGAGTCTCTCTCTGTGAGTCTCTCTGTGTGAGTCTCTCTGTGAGTCTCTCTCTGTGAGTCTCTCTGTGAGTCTCTCTCTCTCTGTGAGTCTCTCTCTGTGAGTCTCTCTCTGTGAGTCTCTCTCTGTGTGAGTCTCTCTGTGTGAGTCTCTCTGTGTGAGTCTCTCTCTGTGTGTGAGTCTCTCTCTGTGTGAGTCTCTCTGTGTGAGTCTCTCTGTGTGAGTCTCTCTCTCTGTGAGTCTCTCTGTCTGTGTGAGCCTCTCTGTGTGAGTCTCTCTGTGTGAGTCTCTCTGTGTGTGAGTCTCTCTCTGTGTGAGTCTCTGTGTGAGTCTCTCTGTGAGTATATCTGTGTGAGTCTCTCTCTCTCTCTGTGAGTCTCTCTGTGTGAGTCTATCTGTGTGAGTCTCTCTGTGTGTGAGTCTCTCTCTGTGTGAGTCTCTGTGTGAGTCTCTGTGTGAGTCTCTCTGTGAGTCTCTCTGTGTGAGTCTCTCTCTCTGTGAGTCTCTCTCTCTGTGTGAGTCTCTCTGTGTGAGTCTCTCTGTGTGAGTCTCTCTCTGTGTGAGTCTCTGTGTGAGTCTCTCTGTGAGTCTCTCTGTGTGAGTCTCTCTCTCTCTGTGAGTCTCTCTGTGTGAGTCTCTCTGTGTGAGTCTCTCTCTGTGAGCCTCTCTCTGTGAGTCTCTCTGTGTGAGTCTCTCTCTGTGTGAGTCTCTCTGTGTGAGTCTCTCTGTGTGAGTCTCTCTCTCTGTGAGTCTCTCTGTCTGTGTGAGTCTCTCTGTGTGAGTCTCTCTTTGTGTGAGTCTCTGTGTGAGTCTATCTGTGAGTCTCTCTGTGTGAGTCTCTCTCTCTCTGTGAGTCTCTCTGTGTGAGTCTCTCTCTGTGAGTCTCTCTCTTCCTCAATACCTCACACAGCTGAGCCGGCTCGAGCTCGCTGCTGCTGCTGCTGCTGCGCCTCCAGCAGCTGCCTCTGAGAGGCACGCGGAAGCTGCCGCCGCCGTCTCCAATGTGCAGCGCGGCCACTCTGAACTTTGTCTTCGTTTAGCCCGCAGTGAAATAAACCCCTGCCGCGTCATCGCAGGGGAGGCGGAGTGAGGCGGGGGGTGGGCCAACACCCACAGCGCCAACACTCACGAGCACTCCACTTACGAACGTTCACGACCAACCAGGGGCATCTACAGAACGTGAAGAACCAGCGGCACCTACATTTACAGAACGTGAAGAACCAGTGGCATCTACAGAACGTGAAGAACCAGTGGCACCTACATCTAGAGAAAGTGAAGAACCAGTGGCATCTACATCTACAGAACGTGAAGAACCAGTGGCATCTACATCTGTAGAAAGTGAAGAACCAGTGGCACCTACATCTGCAGAACGTGAAGAACCAGTGGCATCTACATCTACAGAATGTGAAGAACCAGTGGCATCTACATCTACAGAATGTGAAGAACCAGTGGCATCTACATCTACAAAACGTGTAGAACCAGTGGCATCTACAGAACGTGAAGAACCAGTGGCATCTACATCTACAGAACGTGAAGAACCAGCGGCATCTACAGAACATGAACAACCAGTGGCATCTACATCTACAGAACGTGAAGAACCAGTGGCATCTACATCTGTAGAATGTGAAGAACCAGTGGCATCTACATCTACAGAACGTGAAGAACCAGTGGCACCTACATCTACAGAACGTGAAGAACCAGTGGCACCTACATCTACAGAATGTGAAGAACCAGTGGCATCTACATCTACAGAACGTGAAGAACCAGTGGCATCTACATCTGCAGAACGTGAAGAACCAGTGGCATCTACACCTACAGAACATGAAGAACCAGTAGCATCTACATCAACAGAACGTGAAGAACCAGTGACATCTACATCTGCAGAACGTGAAGAACCAGCGGCATCTACATCTGCAGAATGTGAAGAACCAGCGGTATCTACATCTACAGAATGTGAAGAACCAGCGGCATCTACAGAACGTGAAGAACCAGTGGCATCTACAGAACGTGAAGAACCAGTGGCACCTACATCTACAGAACATGAAGAACCAGTGGCATCTACATCTACAGAACATGAACAACCAGTGGCATCTACATCTGCAGAATGTGAAGAACCAGCGGCATCTACATCTACAGAACGTGAAGAACCAGTGGCACCTACATCTACAGAACGTGAAGAACCAGTGGCATCTACAGAACGTGAAGAACCAGTGGCATCTATATCTACAGAACGTGAAGAACCAGTGGCATCTACATCTACAGAACGTGAAGAACCAGTGTCATCTACATCTGCAGAATGTGAAGAACCAGCGGCATCTACATCTACAGAACGTGATGAACCAGTGGCATCTACATCTACAGAACATGAACAACCAGTGGCATCTACATCTGCAGAATGTGAAGAACCAGCGGCATCTACATCTACAGAACGTGATGAACCAGTGGCATCTACATCCGTAGAACGTGAAGAACCAGTGGCATCTACATCTGCCGAACGTGTAGAACCAGTGGCATCTACATCTACAGAACGTGAAGAACCAGCGGCACCTACATCTACAGAATGTGAAGAACCAGTGGCATCTACATCTACAGAACGTGAAGAACCAGCGGTATCTACATCTGTAGAACGTGAAGAACCAGTGGCATCTACAGAACGTGAAGAACCAGTGGCATCTACATCTACAGAACATGAAGAACCAGCGGTATCTACATCTACAGAATGTGAAGAACCAGCGGTATCTACATCTGTAGAAAGTGAAGAACCAGTGGCATCTACATCTGCAGAACGTGAAGAACCAGTGGCATCTACATCTACAGAATATGAAGAACCAGTGGCATCTACATCTACAGAATGTGAAGAACCAGTGGCATCTACATCTGTAGAAAGTGAAGAACCAGTGGCATCTACATCTACATCTGTAGAACGTGAAGAACCAGTGGCATCTACATCTACAGAATGTGAAGAACCAGTGGCATCTACATCTGTAGAAAGTGAAGAACCAGTGGCATCTACATCTACAGAATGTGAAGAACCAGCGGCATCTACATCTGTAGAACGTGAAGAACCAGTGGCATCTACATCTACAGAATGTGAAGAACCAGTGGCATCTACATCTGTAGAACGTGAAGAACCAGTGGCATCTACAGAACGTGAAGAACCAGTGGCATCTACATCTGCAGAACGTGAGGAACCAGTGGCATCTACATCTACAGAACATGAAGAACCAGTGGCATCTACATCTGCAGAATGTGAAGAACCAGTGGCATCTACATCTACAGATTGTGAAGAATCAGTGGTATCTACATCTGTAGAAAGTGAATAACCAGTGGCATCTACATCTACAGAATGTGAAGAACCCGTGGTATCTACATCTGTAGAAAGTGAAGAACCAGTGTCATCTACATCTACAGAACGTGAAGGACCAGTGGCATCTACATCTGCAGAATGTGAAGAACCAGTGGCACCTACATCTACAGAATGTGAAGAACCAGTGGCATCTACATCTGTAGAACGTGAAGAACCAGTGGCATCTACATCTGCAGAATGTGAAGAACCAGTGGCATCTACATCTACAGAACATGAAGAACCAGTGGCACCTACATCTACAGAATGTGAAGAACCATTGGCATCTACATCCGTAGAACGTGAAGAACCAGTGGCATCTACATCTACAGATTGTGAAGAATCAGTGGTATCTACATGTGTAGAACGTGAAGAACCAGTGGCATCTACATCTGCAAGAGATTATACAACTTTTAAAGCTACTCCCCATGTTTAGTGTACGTGCCGTACAACATGTTTGGAATCGACAGAAGTAAAGTTCCGCTTATGAACAAATGGACTTACGAACAGACCCCTTGAACCTATCTCGTTGCTAAGTAGACGAGTCCATGTACACACTTTGTCGCAAATCGCTTGCAGGAGTTTTAAAATAAATAAATAGCTTTAACACGTAGGCCTTCACGACCAATGTGATCCAATTCGTACACGAATTGCCAATGTCGTAGTGGGTTGACACTTCAACACACAACCGGTTAGTGCTGTACCAGTGGGTGGTGGTGGCGGGTTTAGCAACGTTCATATTTACTGTCTAACCCAAAATCTCTATTATAGCAAATTTATAAATAACAAACGATGGCTACAGAATTCATAAAATCGTGAAGAATATTCTCGACTGACTACTTTCTTTGTATTCTATATTTCAAAAATGAAAAACCGATTTTATCGTGATCCCCTATGAGTACCCTTCTAATCGCTGTCACTCATTCCTCAATCCCTGCATCGATTGTCCCCTGTCAACTAAATCATTCCGTTCTGTCACGGGCTTTGTCAGCTGCGTCAAGCGCCTTGCGTGTGGGCCCTCTGTATAACTACATTTTTTTTAATTTGTATTTATCGAATGCAAAGTCCCTAAGCCAGGCGGTTGCTTCGGACCCTGCCGTGTTGAGACTGAGGGATACCTCCGCTGAGTTTGTGGACTGGGCAGGCCCTTTGCTAGGATGCTGGTGCATGGTTTGCTCCATCCTACAGGCACATCGGGGAGCTGAACTCTTACGTCCCAGCGGTGGGGGGTGGCGAGGCATGGGCCGTGACCAGTCCTGAATCTGTTGAGGTTGGACCCGCTCCTTCCTGGGAAGGTTTGCAAGCTGTTGTTGTGCGCGGGGTAGTAACGAGGTTCTTGTTTGCCAGGTCCACACCGCAGAATAAAACGCAACTATATTTGATGTCACCATGTGTGAAGCCACACTACCGAGCTGTTATTCAGAAGCCTTGATCTGGCAATCACAAACGATGGCTGCTATCATCATCACCACGTGGACAATTATAGCAGCAGCCAAGTAAATCCCTAAAACGCCTGACGCCAATTCTAAATGTCAAGGCTATCAAGACGGATGTAGCGTTGCTATCGAAGCGCGCTCCTTTGCAGGTTTGCATCGCAAGTGTGGTGTGTGGTTAATGCAGACTCGATTACAGCTTGCAGTTGCTGTGGCTATTTTGCGGTTTGGACAGTCAGCTGTATTATTACCAACAGGGGCTAAAGCCCAATTATTGCTCATCTGGATATCGGCAAAAAGGGTGACAGCAAGTTACGACATTGTTATCGTCATAGGCAACCATCACGAGATTGTTTTACAGGACTCCACTCACTCTGTAGAACAAGGGGAGATCATACAAACTCCACTCACTCTGTAGAACAGGGGGAGATCACACAAACTCCACTCACTCTCACTCTGTAGAACAGGGGGAGATCATACATACTCCACTCACTCACTCTGTAGAACAGAGGGAGATCAAACAAACTCCACTCACTCACTCTGTTAAACAGAGGGAGATCATACAAACTCCACTCACTCTGTAGAACAGGGGGAGATCATACAAACTCCACTCACTCTGTAGAACAGGGGGAGATCATACAAACTCCACTCACTCTGTAGTACAGGGGGAGATCATACAAACTCCACTCACTCTGTAGAACAGGGGGAGATCATACAAACTCCACTCACTCTGTGGAACAGAGGGAGATCATACAAACTCCACTCACTCTGTAGTACAGGGGGAGATCATACAAACTCCACTCACTCTCACTCTGTAGAACAGAGGGAGATCACACAAACTCCACTCACTCACTGTGTTAAACAGAGGGAGATCATACAAACTCCACTCACTCACTCTGTAGAACAGGGTGAGATCATACAAACTCCACTCACTCTGTAGAACAGGGGGAGATCATACAAACTCCACTTACTCAATCTGTAGACCAGGGGGTCATTGTAGACTCAAAACTTCCTTCCAAGGATCACGTTGACCACACTCTTAAAAATGCAAAAATAAATACCGGCCTGTTTGCACGTTCTGGCACAAGTATGTTGTGGTTCATGCAGACTTGATGCCTTGCCAAAGCTATCATCTATTTGCTGTTTGAACATCTTAACACTATCCCTGTTTTATTGGCAGAAAGTGTAAACGTTTTTTTTTCGTAATTTTCGATACTGGCAAAAAACT